CTCGATATATGGGGTATTTGCATATATATCACTGTCGATGAATTGTCAAAATGAGTTTAAATACTTCAAAATTTCAATCAATAAGTTTTCTGAATATCGCATTTTAAAAATGAAATTATCCAAATCTAATGGGGGGGATTATGCTCATCACTCGCGCATACAGAAGCTAGAGCAACAATCGAAGTCTCATGTACATATACGCAGTAGTCTTCAGAACTTTGTCGCCAGATAGTCTTTTTTTCATCTGATAAATATATTACATCCACACAGTAGTAAAATTTGGAATTTGGAACCACAAATGTCTATTGGTATTTAAAAACATGAGAAAATTGCGATGTGTTTCGCGTGCGCCGTCAATTTGATATGCATACAACAGTGCGGAAAGTGACAGGTTCGGCGTAAACAGGTTTTATTGACAAGGAAACTCTTGAACAGAATGCATCGTGACATATTATTGGCAGGTTACATCGTAACCGTGTGCCGCACATATTATCTTTTACAATAAAACCATATCAAGTGGCGTGCAAGAGGTTTTCGAGACCAACCAAGAACGAAAAATTGAACATTTCAAAAACAAAACTCTTGAGTGCATAAAGGTAACAGAGAGAGAATGAGATTTAGCAGATCATTTCAAGTGATTTGTCTTTGTATGGTTTAAGCAAATAATGTTGTGAACACGTGGAACCTGTCCACCTATACTAAGGTTATTCAATTCTGAGTTTTGAGCATCAGGCACCAATGACGTCATACGGGTCTCGCTGGAAAAGATTTGCTGCTATTTTTAACGGCAACATTCGCTATAAAATAAATAAAGAATATAAACAATAGATTCTTTTCTGTACACAGATAGCTCTCATCATGACCATTGACAGCTGCTTCACCTGGGGATTATTCCTCCCATTCTATTTAAAGATCCTGCATACAAATAAAACCTGCATTTTGCATGTTTTGCTCGCCAACACAACCGCTGAAACGATAGTTGCTACGGATTATCTCGTTTTGCGCGTGCTTTAAGCTGCTGTAAATAATTGTTACACAGGACGATAATCCACGAAAGAAACTTACAATTACTCTTGCACTCTCGGCTAATTACTACAAATATCCATAGCAACACCTGCGTCATCAAACAGACTAAATCTCTCCAGCAAGTCACGTGTCTCCACTGAACAATTTACCAGAAAGAACCTGCTTCGATTATAACTTTCTTTTGCCCTTAAATTTTAACCGTCACACAGTTTAATGTGCATTTTTAAAAAAAGGAGAAACTGCGCTGAAAGCTTTTTGGATTTTATTTTTATATCATTAAGCACTTAAAAATAATATCATGTCTCTTATATTAATATTTTGATCGTATCAGTAACTCACTAGAATTTACACCCTAAGGATTTTATGATCAAGAAAAGAGGGGGAGATAATTGTATATCAATTTATTCTTCGTAACTATAGCTCAGTAATAGCAGGCATACCGAGATGGAACTCTAGTTAGCGCTCGGTTCATGCACAAGAATTTACTACCGCATGAGTAGTACACATTGTTATCACTGACAAATGTCAGGTATTTTGGAAATCATACAACAGATATTATCATTCTTACACGCGGAGGAACAGTTACAGGGGAATTCCCCATATATAACCCCATGCAATAGATTGTTTCTTAGAATCCGTTTGATTTTTACCCTAGAAAGAATTTTAATTGAAAGAAATACTCAGTATTTAATCGATCTGTTGCTTTTTTTTTTTAAATTTAAGAACAGCCCAAATTTCTATGCTTTTACAGATCTTTAGCTTGTTTTAATATCACATGATCCTAGATATGAAACAATACATGTTTTTTTAATTATTAATAACGTATATTTAGAAGTGCAACCTTTTATTTCTTGTTGCTAAGGACCTTTTAATGAACAATCAATACGATTCATTTTCAGTATTAATATATTATGCAAATACAATCACATACATGTACTAAGAATTTTTGCAATCATGGAAGAATATATTTAGGATTTCAATGTTTGCACATTTTCTAATTAATCATTTTCTAATTAATCATTCCCTATTATAAAATAGAAATGTTAAGTACTACATTAAATGTAATTGGCATGTGCATGTTTGAACCTTTGATCCTGAAATTTGAAACTAAGGGCACACGCATGCATAGACTTTTTTGATCTTTATATCTTGCTCGCAATCAATGTTTTTTTTTTTTATTTGCACTTAAGAAAATAAGTCACTGAATGTATAAATATAATTATATTATGCATTTTTTGGATTATTCGGATTACCCTCTTTCAAAAGGTGTTTAAAATCATGAAAAATGATTCAAAAAGTTGAACGAAAGCAAGACTGAAACTAAGATAATGTAGAGATCATGACAAGACTTTTTTAAAAGTTAAAAAACTGCTGGGGCGGCGGAATGTAAGTTTTCTATATTGGTTTTACAGAACTACAGACAACCGATGAGTCATCGAAGTAGGCTTCCTAACAGTCAAGGCAAAGTGTTGGCAGGAACGCAAGAGAGAGAGAGAGAGAGAGAGAGAGAATCTTACATATTGCCATGATATCAAGTAATTCATTGTTTTATTAATGGGCAAAGGAATATTGCATCTCTATGTCCGCAATTTTTGATTTTCCTTGATCCTCTGCATCAAAAAAGAAGTGCAAGGGTATCCATGGTGCTACTAATACTCCTGAAGGTTTTTCGGCTCAATGACATCTATAGCGATATAAACATTACATTTATAACCCCGCTTTATGTCCTTACTTCCAACAGGTTGCATTTTCCAGCGAATTCTCTACTGCAGAGACATCTTAGGTTCGCCTGGAATGTGAGCGCCATTTTACTTCCGCATATATCCAACTAATGCTCCCAGTGTCATTTTCCTGCAGTTTTCCAGAATTGTGTCCCATCCTTTTGCATTTGCTTTGAATGACCAAAGTTGTGTCCAGTTGTTGGCTTGTTGGGTCAGTGCTTCATAAAAGTATTATTCCCCCAATTAAATTATAGGTCTAGTCTTTTTGTCAGTCGTATTTACGTAAACACCGTCATATATAACTCAGATTTTGCTATAATATAATATCAATTGATCTGTATACGTCAGTATAGCTAGTGATATAGTACAGGGGTACTTACTGTTACTGCTGGTAAGAAAATCGCAGGGGTCCGGCCGCATAAATCCCATTGGAGATGGTTTTCATTAACATCACAGAATTAACAGCAATATTCCATTAAGCATATAGCAAACGTTCAAGATTTTAAAATCAACAAAAACTTGTGGTTTACGGGAAAATTTTAGTAAATCACATTTTGCTGCATAGTAAAGTTCACGTTAGCCTAATCACCATGGCAATGCAAACTGTGAAACAGATTTTTCGTTCAAAATAAAAGTCACATGTTTAATCCCACGACATGAAGATTTTTATAATAAATAGCTACATGTTATAATTTCAATATTTTTTTCTTCGAAAACCATAACATGTACCTTTCCGCCATGATATTTTTTGAGAATTGTTGCCCTACGTCATGCGCTACAAATAAGGCACCAACGGTAACCCAAGACGGAGGCGAAAGCAACAAGCGTCTCTCTCCCTTTCTTCCTTTATCTTACAGACGCTTTGATGCAACAAGCTTATCAAGGAAAGCAAATGCACATCTGGAATTTCTTTGGGGAAAATGGTCGCCTCGGAATAAAGCTTTTGGTCAAAGTTGACCCTGTTGATGGTGGTCTTGAAGGGACATTAGTGTTATTCAGGGAGAGTATTGTTATAGGTCGAGGAAAAATAATTAATTTTGGAATGTTGTTGATGTTACATTTGCTCGCACGGTGGTTTTGTTGTTTATTTACAATTGGTGACTTACCAGCGGTTATTTACCTGACAAAGTTGAAACGATAGCAGCGTATATCTTATACGAGTCAGAGAAAGACTCAGTACAAAACAGAGAAGGGTGGTATAAATGTAAGTCCGTTTCCTGAATCCCAGTGACAAATTAATTTGCGTTTGTATTTTTTTAAGGAGTATATGATTTTAAAAAAAGGTAGTTTTAGAACGAAATAAGTATCATGATATAAACTGGAATTTTTGCACGACTTTGTGTGTCTATTTGGATTTACTAATGTTTTGTTCCATACTTCAAAACTACTTTGACACTCCCAACGTGAATATAAACTACTTTTTTTTGGATTATCAATTTATAAATTGTTCATGAAATCTCGTGGAAAGTTTGAATACCGGCATTATGGTCCTTACTTACGAGAGAGATACATGTCTATCGCTCTCAATATACACCTTGAATATTTGAAATGTACTCACTCTTTGATAAACGCGGAGTGGAGCTTTCATTTTTTTTTCACTGCGTACAAGACCACTTTACAGTGATGATTTTAAAACCAAACAGGAATTCAAAAATATGTTTTTCATACTTGTTAATAAACTTAATAAAAATGAGCATACTAGTAATTTACAAATATATTTTTCGATCAGATTGAACAAGGGAGGCAACTTTCCCATAGTTTTGGAAAGATTGACTTAATTGGCGTCGAAGTCTAATGTAAATACGCATAACTCCATACACAGAAAACAAACAAGATTCAAGGTAAATTTATTTCTGTGTTTTGCGTACATGTACTTCTTTTGTACCCATAAATATATATGTCATAGATCCAAAACATTCCCATTATAAGCCCTTAAATTATTGAGCAATATTTAGATTTTTATAATACTGTAAGCAATTAAATACTTAAATGAATGAGACAAAAGACATGAATACAGCAGCATATAAGAGTGTCATGTTCTAGATATATCTATATAAACTGTCAACTTTGTAACTAAATGCAGACTAGTTTCCTAAATGCAACATTAGATTGCTGAATATGGACCCTTAAATTATCCCAAAATTCTTGAAAATTACACTAATGATTCTCGTAAAAATGACAATAATCAAAATGACATTTTCCCTCTCAATAACAAAGCAACGAAAACAGAGAAGGCAGAGCTAATTCGGAATAACTAAGCAGATATGTGGTCTGGTCCAGACCATGTGGTCACCCGTTTAAGGTGAGCGGACTTATTCCTATGGGTAAGTCGTGGAAAAGATGTTCGGGACCTCTGCAGATGAGCGGGAAATTCAGAATTGATGTTCTTGATATGTTCTGCAAAAACATAGTGTCTCATAAAAGCATTTGAATATCAAGAGTAATTCGAATAAGTTCAGACGTAGGATACTTTTGAAAGAACATTTTTAAAGATGAAATGTCATTGAAAATTAAAACGTTATTTATTCACAATAAATATATCTCCTTCATATTTGTACATGTTGTATAATATATATCACAGATGTAAAAATTGGCACCAATTCTTTAAATAAAAAAATATGCAAGCTTCAACTACAAATTTCATAGCTCTATACAAACCAACAAAAAACAATCTTGAATAAAATGAAATTGAATGAATTTGTGTATTGCCCCTAAGGAGTATTCAAATAAGAGTGTTCTATTAAATGAAGAGAGTTTTTTGTGCAAGGTGCTTTTTAAGAGAGATTGTATCCAGGGGAATAACAGTTGAGAGGCAATGATTTTGGTGTATCCGGGTTCTGAAGCGTGTGTAAAGCAACATCAATATCAAAGTCTGTGATTTGGGGCGGCGTCTTTATTCCCGTGGAGGAGGTAGACTCTCGTTTGGTGTACTTGAATGACGTCACAGGCGTTGCTGCTGTGGCTGACGGAGATCGTGCTGGATGCCTTAGATCCGGGTACTTTCCACGTGGTTTGTTTACTGGTATGTGTTTCGGCTGTTTGTACAGTGGATGGGTGGGAGGTTTTGTGTCCGACCGCACAGAACTTGGAGTGCGAGGAAGGTTTTTACTAGCAAATGAGGAAGGTGTGCTAACGGGTGGGACTTCTGAGCGCATGTTCATGCGTGAAGGGGGACGAGGGGTGATCCCGTCACCCTTCTGGTACGCGTTCAGAAGTCGGTTTATTGTGTCCTTTTCTGAAATAAAATGATCGAAAGCAAAATAGACAAAAATCAAACAACTAAAGAGGTTAGCAAATTCTAGCAACACAATCAATTTTACATTTCTATAGTTTCTAAATCATTGAAAATATTGCTGATATGACGCGGAACAGTTAGATAACATGTGAATACAATTCATAATTTTCAGTTACCAAGGACATACGCAGAGAGGAAAAATATTATGAAAGCGGAAAAACAATTTATCATTTTTTAATTACTTTCTACGCCCTTGCAGAGAAAATTTATGATTTTACATAGTAAGTAAACAGATGCCAATCAATAGTCAATTTAAACCTCGATTATTGACTGAATATTATAATAAACTAATTCTTTAATATACATTTCTATATATACTACTGGAAGTATTTCAATTTAGGTCATTGACACGCGCTAAATAGATCGAGTGTAGATAGGTTAAAAATTCAAACTACACTAAATTTACGTGCGATTTTTTTATGATAATGAATCACACCTCTTTAAATGAATGACGTCTTTTGGATCACAGCAACTAATATATTTATTTAAAGGTGTTTGTATTTATTTATGAAGATTTTTGACGAATGATGCTAAACATTACCATGCTTATAAAAGTGTGTTCAGTAACTGCTACAAAATGTATGGTGCACTAGAAGTGCTTCAAATCTTTGCATCATGCAGAAAACGTGCAAAAATGCTGAATTGCAGTGCTAAAAGAAATTTATCACGAAAATTTAATGTAATTTTCAGCCTTGAAATCCAAACGACAAAATATAGGGGGAAAATCAGCGTATCATAGTCTATCTTTACTACCAAGTAATCTACAAAAATCGGTGTTCCAATAGCGCAATTTCCCTTCCTCCCATTTCATTTTTTTGGTAGAAAATACATCATCAATTATCTCCAGAAATATCACCATTATATGTTTTAATTCATAACTTGAAACTGATTTTGTGATACCACAAGTTTCAAAGGTACATTGACAAAGAAGAAATGGTGGCATTTCAATTGGCTTGCACAAAAAGTCATGTCAATTACGACTGACCAACAATCTATCTTAATTTTCTTAACTGTATATAGGAAGCTGACAGATATTGAAACAAAATAAGTATTTTTGCCGTAAGTTTTCAATGTTTCAGAAATTTGGCAGAAAAATTGTTTAATTCTTGCATATTGCAAGGTGCAAACAGTTTTAAAATTGCTGGCAATACCACATCACCACACAGTAGCGTTGCTAAGATACCGACCTTGACTTTCAGCTTTTTCCATATATTTCTGCAGTGCTTCGTGTTCCAGTTTTTGACCCACTTCCTTGATCTGTGAGACGACATTTTCGGCGTTGTCGTTAAAATGACGATCATATGTTGTTCTTCCTTTGATATGGTAAAATCGTGTTGAAGCGGTAGGTACTAGATGTTAAAAAAATGAAATTAGAATTGGACAATTTTTTTTCTTGAAAACTACACAATTTGAAACAATTTAATGATTAATAAGTAATTATATAAATTAGTTATATTCAAGGCAATTAAAATACATAGATATGTTTTTTCAAAGATTTATGAAAATAAGAAAGTTTGAATCCCGTTTCCATGGCAACCAAGGTTATAATTCAAAAACTATTATTAGACTTTACAATACAAATATTAAAAGGCCTTACTTGTGCCTGTAGCGGCTACTGGCTTTTTCCTATTACTCCCGTATCTGTTGATGGGGACCTGTAGTTCCTCCTGTTGGTTGGGTTTCTGGTACGAGTACCTGGCCACGGTGTCCAGGGTGTAGGGAACGTTAGCCTTCCAGTCCGGGGGCAGCGTGTAAGCCCGCTTCACTTGAAAGCCTAGGGAAATGAAACAGATAAAAGAAAGATAACTCTTACTCCTAAATCTGATAATAAAGCAAATCTCTTTCTACGTTTGTTATAGTTTTTTTAAAGTACAAAAATATAATAAAATGAAAAATATATAATTAATGTACTGAAACATTTTTGTAAAAAAAATCGTCTAACAGGTAATCATTGGAAGTCAAATTAACAAAATAATGTTGTTTTTTCTTGACATTTTTGGTGAAGTGTGAAGGGAAAGGGGTCTTTTAACGTTGAATAAAAAACTATTATCCCCTCGTTGTCTTTGCATTAATTTTCCTCATCAATATTAAGATGAGATTTATACATATGTAAATGCAAATACATCAGCACTGATCGTCTCAAGCCACGGTTCGGAGTCCGCACATAGCTCCTCTCCAGAATAGGAGAGTATGTACATTTTGGCCGCTGTTTGCGACCAAATTTAGAGAATCCAACACTACTTCATACAATTTATTTCCACAAGACAAAATGAAGAAATGGTACAAATATGTAATAATCGGATGACCTACCTTGCGGTATCCCTAGGTAGTCGTTCTGGTAGGTGGACTGACACAGTCGTTTATGGACCTGACCTATCATCTCGTCCGTCAACTCCTCGGACCAGGGACTAGATTGCTGCTCACCCTTAGCATTGGACGGAAACCGCCAGACTAGAAAAGACTGAAAAAGAAATCCATTGTTTCCTTAAGAGGCTCTTATCTCTCTGGATTATGGTATAAAAACCAATAAACTCTACTTCAAACCAATGATTCGTTGCTCAGTGAAAAAAGAAAATCAATTTATTTGAGATGTTTGGTTTTCATTTTCTCTTCCTACACCGCGGAGGGTCTTGAATCTAGGAAGAGGTGCCGAATTTTAGATTTAATCTTTCCCCAGCATGTCCCTTTAATTATTAATCGATATTTAAAAATAGGCATTACGATTTCTTTAATCTCTATTACTATTTATTGATACTAGCAGAGACATGGTACAGTTTGTAATTTTATATACCTTTTAAAAATGTGTTATTTCAGAAGTAAAAAATTATTGTTTTTCTTTGTAAAAAAAATATTATATACAATTTCTTCCCCAAATTCTTAAATAAGATCAACGAACGAATTTAATTCAGGTAAATAAATTCTTAAATATCTAAAATGTCTGAAGTTAATATTTAAATTCAAAATTAGAAAACCAGGGGTTGTTATTTTTGTATTCAGGTAAATAAATTAAAATTTAAATATGCCCCCTAAAATGTTATTGACTGAAGTTTTTTTAAATTTAAATTCAAAATTAGAAATATAGTGTCCAGGGGTTGTTGTATCTTTTATCAAAAATTTAAAATTTAGAATTTAAAAAAATAAAATAATTTCCCTCCCTCCCTCCTGTGTGTACATAATTTTTTAATTAATATTTATTTATGATGTTATAAAATATTAATCTTATAAACAGTGTATATAAATTTATGAGCATTTACATTTTTAGTAAATCTTAGCCTAAAACATTATATAAATGTTGTATACATTTATTTTACATTATTTGCATTTATTAATTTTTTCTCAGGTAAATAGGATTACCTTTAATATGGATTTAAATTCCTGCTTACACTACTGTCGGAAGTTTAAATGTTCACATTAACAGCTGTGATGGCCGAGTGGTTAAGGCGTTGGACTTGAAATCCAATGGGGTCTCCCCGCGCAGGTTCGAACCCTGCTCGCAGCGTTAAACGTTTTTTAAATTATTTTTCATGAATTTTGATTTTACACAATCCGTAAACCAATGGAAGGCTTTTTTTTTCATTTAATACGATTTTTATTCAAATTATACATGAGATTTAGTCGACTTACTTCCAAAGGATGTGGTTTATTTCTTCTAGCACCTGATGCTGTTCCACTCCTAATAGGTGTGGCGGGTCTGTTGGGCTTCTCATGAAATTCTTCAGTGTAGTGTGTTTCACCAATTGGACCTTCAAGGGGATGTGAAGCTGTAAAACCTTGTGAACTCTGGGGTCTGCAAAAAGGAAAATGATTGCAATATTTATATTTCATGGAAGTTTACATCCGAATTGCAAATTTAAAAAAATCAATCCCTTTAATTTGTTTTCAAAATTCAATTAAAATAAAAAAATCTTTTAAAATATATGAGGTTAAATAGTACAGGGATTCCTTATCTTAGAGCATTTTTGACAGATTTTAACAATAGCTTGTATCTTTTACATGTAGTCTCTCTCTCTCTTTCTCTCAAAACTTCGCATAGGTATCATTAGGGGACTATAACTTGGTTAGGTGGAGTAATCTAACATGTAAGTGGGGATAATTCTTATGGTTTGTAGGTTATACGAGAAGCTTCAGGTTTTGAGTAATTGCTTGATAAACACTCAATTCGATATTCTATTTACTGACCCTTTGAAAGGTTTACAATGGACATTCATTTCACACCAAAGGTTTTAAACAAGGTTATTGTTGAACGTACCTGAACAATTTTTCAATCATTATTCAAATATTTGGAATTAACATTCATAACTATCCTCCAAAATTTAGGTCACAAATAATATGCAGTTCATTCGCAAATTACAACATATGCATGTATTAACATACAACACCTTTTTTATGACACACTAACACAAATTTTGATGTGCATGTGTATTAGCTGTTGAATAAAATTTTAAACAGAAAACTTTATCTTCAGACTGGCCCACGAAGTATACATGTTTAAGGTTAATTTTCTAGTTTACTAGGACTACATCTTTCGTTCTTTTTTCAGTAAGCAAAGAAACACATAATTATAGTTACTATTAAAAAGTACAAAAGTTTTTTTTAATAATGCACTATAAATGGTCTAAAGTTATCTGATGTTCAGCTAACATTTTTCCAAATAAATTAAGTACATGTAAATAGATATGTGTATTAAAACTCGAAACGAAATATTAAAACAGGAAACGAAATTTTTATAATTTACAAAAATATACAGTTTATGTATGTATATCATTTGAAGTAAATTCATGTACATGTGTATGTTCACATTTGAAAAAATCCTTTTCAATGAGAATTATTTGTACTGATATGAAGTTTTTATAAGCATTCAATACGTACAAGGGTCGCAAAAATAATTTAAATTTAGAGAGTAAGCAAAAATTAGAGGGTAATGGTTTCAATTGTAGCATGAAATCATTTTGATAAAATACATTAAAAATGTAACAAATTAGAAAGCCATCTGGATAACAAACACCATTATCTCTGTGGTCAATTTAAAATACACATGTATCAATGTATAGAGAAAACAAAGTATATTAGATTGATAATTCCTATACAGATAAACATTTAAAAAGACTTGTTCATTTAGACCTGTGTTGACATTTATATTAGGAATAGGAATGCAAAAAAAAAAAAAAAATAAATAAATAAGTTCAATGGATAGTATACGATTACAAATGAAGATCGAGAAATACACTGGATAGACAAAAGTTCTAACGAACCATGCAGCATAATATTTCATTACTTGTGTATAATGAATTAATGCTTGCAATATTAAATGAAGAAAAGCACCAAAAATCGTGCTTAAACTTTAAGAAGGAATTAATATCTATGTTTCCTTCAATTTGTGTACTTTATAAATTTGCAAACATTAAAAACCCAGAAAAAAATGTGACATCCTGTTCATAATTTAGTTACAATAAAAACGTGTGGTAGGAGAGTTAATATGGTAGAGAAATTAAATATTTCTATTTCTCCTCATAAAAAAGTGCTGCGACTAGATTTTGAAAATGAACAAATGTCTTCTATGTGTGTCCATGGCATTCAATACGCACCACAAACCGTGCAAGGTTGTACCGTAAATATGTTTCAACCGGAAGTGTGATGGACCAGATATTTATGTCTGGGCTCTGGGTGACTTTTGAGCGATCTGATATGGACATCTAACATGATAGTTTAGTGAAGTTTTGGAGGGGGGGGGGGGGGGTTAAGGGGTTCTACCACTGATGCACCCTAAATTAACAACTCCATATCAGTTAGGGGAAGATGTGCACAATCTGCATTAGAAAAATTGTTTTGTGGACAAGTCATTTGAAGATCAGATCATTTTTGCGCTTCTATTTATAGTCAAATACAAATTGGAAACTCTTCCGAGGATAAAGAAGGGGGTTTCATTATAATAATTTTTAACCATCTCAAAAGTGTGGATTCTCTTTCAGATATGCCTTCATTTATGTCTGATTTTTTGGAATCGTTAAGTTTTTTATATATGCTGTATGGATATATATTGCAAGAAATACCTGATTGCTATGGTGTCTTTTGGTTCCTTGACTGGGTAGTCCCTGCCATAGGTGGTTTGATATGGATTCATCGTGTAGTAGTTTTCTTTCCTACCTAAAATAAAAAAAAACCTCCATTACCTAATGACGTGATAACAGACTGCTATTGTGACGTCACAATAGGCAATTCTCTTACGTCACAATCACAAACGTCACCAGCTGGGCCCCTTTTACCAAAGAATTTACGAATTAGACCAAAATGTAATTCTGCTTATAACTTTCTTATTTATATTAAATAGAAAATGGTTTTAATCTTTTTTTTTAAAAAAAGGTATGTAGAAATGATACTTTTATGCTTGCTGTTTTTAAACGAAATCATTAACTTTGCAAAATTTTACAATCAGCTGGGGGAAGGCTGTAAACATTTGTTTACAAACAGTTTGGTTTATGAGTGGGTTGTAAATTTATTGGGTTGTAGAATAAAGGAATTGAATTAATTCTTCGAGATGAAAATGTAAGAAATTCTCTCGATTTTTTGATGAGCGGTAAAAGCTGGGTAAACTTGTAGAACGGCAAATACTAGTACATTGTACATCATTAAAAAAACAAGCATGTTAGTCACAGCAGAACTAATTTTGTTCATATAAAGGTTCAGAAAAGGAATCTGTCCTTACATTTTTTACACAAAAAAATATCACTTGTCGGGTGTAGGTGTATGAACATTGTATTCTCTATCCGATCTTTTTCAATCCCGTATAAAAACTCTCCAGATCCCTATTTCATCTATGGTTAATTTTTCTCACTCTACACAAAAACAATGCAGTATAATTCATGCACCATGCCCCAAGCTCACTCTTTAATCCATACTTTTTAAAAACGTCAGATTAATATCTAAATTACATTTGTTAAAGTTGTTTTCATGCAATGCACACTGAGTCATAAATCTAATGGACAAGGCATGATTAAACAGAACTTTAATACAGTCATTTAGGGTATTCCGAATCACCGTTTACATTTTGACTGCAGATGTTTTTATTAAAAACTTTTCACATGGTTGTTTGGTATCAAAGGAAAGCCAATTTAGTGAAAAATCAGATCTACTTTACAGAACGAGTCTATCTTCAATACAGCAACCTTGACGGGGGTTATATTTGGATCACCTTTTTAGTGTATTGCGAATCACTTCCGGGTATTTCGAATCACCAGGTAAATGGGTTGAAAACGGTCAGATAACATCATCATAATTGATGAACTAGTTAGTATTGTTTATAAAAAGCTCCAAGAATAAAAAGAATTAAAATTTTCTTGATTGTCCTTGTTTATTTGAAAGTTTTCAGCACCCCCCTCTTTATTCGCACTAAAAACATCTTTTCAGAGGCGGATCATGCAGAAAAGCAATTATTACCAAGAAAATAGGGGTTTCAGAAATTACATGACTGTAAATTGTTGTCCTGTAAATATAATTATGTCACTTTTTTGCACCTGGGATATTTTTTTCGCTGCATAACAATTAACATTGAAAATATCATAATTCTAAGAATCGGCTACGAAAAAAAAAATCATACATGTATAATGATAATGGTGATAAAAAATGTATGAAAAGGAATAAAAACTAGCTCCTGTTTAGATATATGTATCACAATTATTAAATATGACATAAATCACTGCATATGTGCACATATATGTATGTGTACATGTACATGCGTGCAAGTCCATATTTAAAAAATTATGACAAAAGGATAACCACTGGTCAAGCTACTCATTTACTCTTCACAGCTTTCCCATTTCATAATTTTCATAGGTCCCTTGCATGTACAGAAAACGATGTTTTCGAAATATCGGGCATATAACAAGTATATGCAGCCTGCAATTTATTCAGTTGCGGTTATGTACATACGTGATTCGAAATACACCAAATTATAGGGGGCTACAAATGCGGTTGTAACATACAAATTTTTGAGATGTAATAAAAAATTATTAATGCTCATAAAAGCTCATAAAATTGCCGTTCTATCAATACCTAATATGCCAGGTTTCAAACACCACCAACGCCACGACATCGATGAGAAATATTCTGCAACGTTTATACACGGAAATTTTCTTCGAGAAGGAAAGCAAGTTAACGAATGAATTAATTATTTTTTTAATTAACGCATTAAGTTTACCTCTTTATTTATTGTATGTATTAAGCATGAACCATGTTGTTAATGACTATTTAGTTGTCACACGTCTGCATGTCTCGTATAAGATACAGCGATAAGGTAAATTACCGAGTATCGCGAAATGCGGGGTGATTCGGAATACCCTAAATGACTGTACAAGTTACCTTCAGTTTCGATTTTATCATCATCATCGGATTCTGAAACATATACTTCTACATAGGAGTGACAAATAAAAAAAAGAACATAAAAGAATATTATTTTACACATGTACTTCCTAAAAGTAGAAAAAATCCCGATTCACTTATCATTATGACGTATCAATCTTACCATATGCCGGTAAGGCAGTGGCGGGGCGCGGGGGTGGAGGTTCGCTCCCTCCCAGATGAAATGACGCTAGGAGTTCTAAAGCTTTAGAGCGGTCTGCTTCAGTCTCCGCTTTATCATAGAATGCTTGTAGATCTTTCTGAAGCCCCGGGACCACCAACTCGTCTCCAACCTATGTATAAATGGAATAAACGCCAATTAACAGCGACCTGACCTAACCCCGGGGGCACTGTCTCTGGGTGGGGTCGGGAGGAACTTACCCGTGTCTCGGTGTTAGCATATTCCACCCTGGGCATAGGGATGGCATTCACAGGTTTCCGATAGTATGCTAGGGTCGCCATTTTTACATTGTAAACAGGAATTGTACAACTGAACCATATGATTTGCTGTCGTTAAAGCCCCGAGTCCCGTTGTCAAGCAAGTCGATTTAAACATTACCAGTGCCGTATGTCTCAATGAACTTCCATTTAATGTTGGCTGATTTCTTGACTGTTCTTAAAGTGCTTTTGGAATCTTGTTTTATTTTGGACGATAAGCGCCTATCAAAATTTCATTTTTTAAAAGTTTTGTCTGTCAAATACCACAATACGTCTTTTATTGGGGATATAAAAGAGTGTTTTGTCGCATTTGAAAAGATGATTAGCACGAGAAAATCAATAAATATCTATACTTAAGTGATATTTGTATATCGATTTTGCATGAACCCTACATAGATGTTCATAACCATTATTTCGCGGGAAAACAAATAATGTCCATAAATTCAAGATTAGAGTAAATAGAGAATTTATCAGTCTGAAGTACGTGTACTTATAAATTATATAGATACCACTAGTTCACTTCATTGGTATTACTGATTGATCATCAGATACAGGTAATTTAATTATAGATTAATATTTGACTTACCCGTGAAAACATTGAAATATAAATACCCCCCCCCCCCCTCTCCTCCAAAAAAATCAAGACATATTGTATTAATGCTCGCCACAAAAAAAGATTAAGAAAAAAAAAAGAAAGCATGTATATATGCAAATGTGTTACCTGGCAGGAAAATTTCATATATTTTATAGTATGACACAAAATAACATTTTAAAAAACAGGCAGGATTCATAATATGGTTTCACCAGCATGCTGCAGGTTCACAGAGAGAAATTTTTGACTGGGCGACAGTAGGAACGTTATCCAAGGGTCTTACTTGTAGGAGTAGATTCAAGGTCAGTCTTGTTGAATAATTAACGAATAAGAAATTATGAATAAATAATCTTATTTTCCAAAAAAAAAAAAAAAGAAGAAAAACATCTAACACTGTACAGTTCAGCTTAAAACTGCATATTTTCATTAAAAGGTTACACTGATTAATACACAAATGACAATAAAATATAAGTAACGTATGTTCACATACAAAATAAAGTTACACTACTAACCCTTGATTAAAAGGAGAATATAGGACCCCCTCCTTAAATTGGTTTAAGGGCCGAAGTAATTGGATTTGATTGAAACATGGTAGTTCCTTAGAAAATGTCAGATAAAAGTTAAGATACGTACTCACCGCACGGCAGCCTTCATTCAAATAATGTTGTTGGGAAGGTAACAACACAACCATTATTTATTAATTCGTTTCCAAGCATTTATCGTTAATAAGGTATAAAATAATCAATTACATTCGAAAACGTTGTATCTGAGGTCACGCAAGTTAACTCCTAATGGTTGCAGCGGAAATTTTACAACATCACACTCAAGCTTTTTCAACTGTTTCTAGTGATGTTTTGAATTATTTAGTTTCTAACCACGCGAAAGGAATCTCCCAATGTGGGTTTGAGTACGTTTATGTGATACAGGCGTGAAAGTTTATAATAATTTAAAATGACTGTCGCCTTTTTCAGGATTGACACCACACATGCAAGTACAGTAGAGTATCTGCCATAAAAGACTGAATTATTTTGTCCATTTTTTGTCCACGGGTGTTCTAGAATGTCATTTTATTAGCCGACTGAAAGCAAAAGCTTTATTCGCAGCCACCAGGATATCTTCTTTTTCAAGCAAAAAGTGCAAAAAGTCTGAGGAACAATGTTAAAGCATACCCAACATAAAAAGTAGTCCATTTAAAAGTTTGCGTCGAAAAAAAAAAAAGAATTGTACTATTCGGAAAGCTTGACATATGCACTCAATAAATTTATCACACTTTTTAAAAGAATGACCGTCAGTCTGGCTGTAGCAATACTTATGTTTTTAGCAGTCAGAATTTAAAAAAAAATCTGGTCATCGTGATGGTGTAATTAGTTTAATAAATTTGACAACGAAGTATAGCGTCTACCTGATCAATCTATAAGGCTCATGTCGGCGTGTCCGATCGACAAGGCATACTTAATTCTCCTTGGGACCTGATCCCATCTTGGTGTTTCTGGAGTTACGTGGTTTTGCTTTGTGAGTCGTTTTGTTTTCTGAATTTATATGACTATTTAATGTTTGTTATTTCACCTTTTAAGTTGCCAGAAATAATACAAAATAGGAACATTTAAATGGGGGATTTTACCATTTAAGAAGGCACCCCTTGCTAAATTTAAAAAAACAACAACCATAAGACAGTATTTAACTTTTGGAAGATTCTGTTGTCATTTGTGATCCCCCACCTAATTAAAAAAAAATGGAACTCCTTGATCTGTCCCTAACGTACTTCAACTATAATGGTCCCATTAAAATAGTGACATAACTTAGGGTGACAAAAACACCATGAACCCAAAAGAATGGGTCAGAATTACTCCCCTTAACATTAAATGATATTTGATACTGTATTTTCTATTTTCTCCCTTGTAGTACATGTATCTATTTACCCATGTACATTCATTGCAATATACGCATTTATCTATCAGTTTAGTGTAAATCTGTCTTTCCTTAAAAATTAGAAATTGTAACACATGAACAAAGCATACTGGAATGAAAAATCAAAAGGATTAGTGAAATCAACTAGTCACAAAGAACTACAATACAGAGAAATTTCTTTAATAAACAATATGAAACATAGATAATATTCATTAAAAAAAAGTAGATTTCATATAAAAAAAAGATCTAGTCCATTAAGAACTGGTATTATGAACAAGTAAAATACATGAAATAACAAAAATCAGGTTCAAAAAGTATTTTAAGCATGTTTAGCATTTGTATTTGTGATTTGGACAACTTGTCACATGAAATAAATCAGGACATGACGTGAGGTCACATTCTGTCTGTAACATAAATAATACAACAAGAAACAAACAAAAAAAACAAACAAACAAGCAAGCAAAAACACTCCCACCCATCCACCATGTAATTAGAGATTTATACTTCAAGTGCACAGAGTAAATATATAACTGTCAGAGTAGCCAGAGCAATGACAAAAAAAAACATGAAAGAAAAAGCATTCTCTGAATGATAAGGACACAAGCTACGTCTGCTTTGAGATATGTTATAATAATTATAATCTGTCTGGATTGATATGATATAAAAATAATAAGCTCTAGGTGTGATATTTTCTCTCCTAAAAAAAATAAGTACAACTGTGCTTCAAACCATTTTCTCCCATGCAAAATACTAGATAAAAGTCATACAATGTAGGTCTGGACTAGAGTATGGTTACTCTAAGCTAAATCACATCTTCACCCTTTCACACAATTTCACCACTTGTACACAAGCAATAGCATACCATTCACATGATAGATTCTTGAGTATTATTGGACAAGCATACTAGTACACTACTGCAGGTCATTGGGATTTGAATATGGGTGCTTCAGGTATATCATCAAAGAATTATAGGAATCATTCAGTCTTTCATAGATACGCAAGCATACAGTTTGTAATCTATTGGAAATACTGGAAGTCAGGAATGGCAAGATTTGATTAAATCTACGGCAGGAAGTATTTTGGAGTGCTCATGTGGAATTGATGGTCAGAAAAATAACCATGGCCACGATGAAAGGATCCGAATCTGACAAAAAAAAAATTAATAAATTTCTTGTTTAAAAAGAAAATCTACAAAATAATAAAATTCAAATTACCTGTAAATACCAAAAATCCCAGCTAAATGTTTGTCCCCTCCCCATCTTTTTTCAAAATTATTATTTTAAAATCCTATTCAACTAAAAGAAATGACAACAACATTCACCTTTTATTAAAATGTATACTAGGGTCCACTTGGGAGGGGTCTGTGGTCAGTCTTGTGTAATCTTGGTATTTGTCGGGATTCTTTGGGATCTGGAATTTGGCCATTTGTACCTCAGTATCACTCAATCCCCCGTGTGTTATACGAGCATATCCCAGTCTGTATAAAGAGAAAGAGAAGAGTCATACACTACTTGAACATAACATGAGGCAAAGTGAACATTAAAATTAAATCTGCTAAAAAAGACCTGAAAGATGAAAAAAATCTTCTAATGAGTAATTGACTACTGCTCAACCAAAACCATTGATTATTTGACTTTATTATCAAAAAGACAAAGACATCCCCAACTTTTATGCATAAATACCATAGTATTCTGTTACACAAAATATATTTCTCAAATTTTCATATTCTTTATCCTTGAGACCTTTACTTACTTTCTCAGCCCTCTGTACATGATATATTCACACCATCTGCCTTTGTCAGTTTCATCGATGTCCTTGACATTTCCACTGGTCAATAGTTCACGGTAGTCACGACTTCCAGGGGCAGAGGTCACATAACCCAGGAAAACTACTGGATTCTTGCTACAATGTATGTAGAGAGAAAAAGTCAAAGTCATCTTAATACAAAAATCTTTTTTAAAAAGACATAGCACATTTGGTTTGGGCATCATTATCCATACATCATCTATTAAATAAACAGTATTAAGAGTCTGATACCATATTGAAAGCAAAGGCTATAAAAAAATTCAGACTGCACGGAACTTAGATTATACAGGTTAAATTAGTCATTTTCATTTTTAAGTTTTCTGGACAAAAAACCCTTACAATTTTCAATGATCTCAAATTTATTTTTGCACCTCAGACACTGTAGCTTTGAGCATTGAACTAGATTTACCTCTCCCTGAGTTCCCTGGCCAGGAATTTGGCCTGCAGTTCTCGGTCCAGTACATCCCTGTCATTCCCCATGTGAGTGACCACATAGTCCACATGTCTCCCACCATAGTCCACTGTTGCTGAGATAGCTGGAGCCAGCTCTCCTGTAAAATAGACAAATTTACAGAGAGTTGAAGGACTGCATTTATAATTACATGGTGTCTTTTCAAGCTTTCAGAAAAGTTGAGTGTTGGATTTTTGACTTACCATGTGGTGAGGGAAGGAGATGATGAGTAGACTTTACAATTGGATACTTGGATAATATCAGGTTCCTACAAGAAGAATACATAATCATTATGCATTTTACATTCAGTAAATATTTCTATGCAACAATTCTAGCTTATACTTTGCCTCTGAAAACAGTTATGTTAACTTTGGTGTCAAAAGTTGCTTTTAAATGCAAATTCTCAGTTAACAAACTCTGAAATTGCTTACTGATGAGACCTGTTTTTCATCACCTACCCCCATGTGTGTGTTTTGGTTGCTGGTCCAAAGTCTACGTACATTCCCAGCTTCTCTCCCAGCCACATTCCAAGGTCATTGTTCCCCAGGAATGGTTTGGAAGCATCACTCTCCAGGAGGGTCACAAAATCAGCTCCTGGGAGGAAAAAAATCATCAATATTAAAATCTGAACATTTTCTGTCACCTCTGCCAAAAGTGTAGAAACTGAAGATCATTATTGACTTCTAAATCATTCTTCTGACCTGTTTCGTTGATAAGTTTGGCTGAGCGTTCTAGACTTGGCCAGCCTTTATTGTCATAGCCAAAGTGGTAGGTCCAAATCATGGCAGAAAATTCAGGTTCAGGTCCTACCTTTCATAGAAAAATTACACCGGAGATGTCAGTGATCTACATCAAAATTTATTTTGAATAAAATAATCAATGTGAAAAAAAAATATTTTTAAGATATCTCATCAGTCAGTTAACCAGGAAATTTTTCAGTAGAAAACACTGAGTTGTTCCTCACAAATGAAATCATCAGGAAAAATATTCTAGTCTTTCTATAGTAATCACCTATGTGATCCGTTGAAACAAGTTGAAGGTATCGGTACTTAGGAGTATGGAATAAGGATTGTGTTTTCACCATTTCAGAGGGGAAATTACAATTCATCACATTCAATTGCTTTAAATGTATAATATGGCAAGCTAAATCTAATACCTTAGCAGGGTGAGAAATCTTTTGTTGACTGTATCTTGTGGCAAATCCAGTCAAGCCACAACATAAAATCAGTCCCAAAACTGTCAAAATTAAGAATAATTCAAATTCTTTGTTAAAAACATTTTAATTCATCAAATACTATTTGCACAAAATTACCCTTAAATTAAATGTTGTATGCTTTTATAATCTGTAATATATGTTGCAAGTTTTCAGTTTTTAAGAAAATTATTAAATATACACAAAAAGCAATAAACTTACTAATGTTGACTTTTGAAAGTGAAATCTTCTTCTTTTCAACTACAGGTAAAGCGGTAAAGGTCTGGTCAAAAGATTTACCTGGAAATATGAAGTGCTGTAAATTTCATTTGAAAATTTCTTCTCATATTATTTTTTAATTATATTTTCCTTTAAACTAAAAATATGCATGAAGGTTTTTTTTAAAAAAATACTTTTTTACTATGGCTTCCATGTAATAAATTAGCATACACAAAATGCACGTGACAATTAAACAAAACTCTTTAAAACACAGAATACGTTTTTGAAACATATTACCAGTAGTATGTAAATTCATGTAAGCAATTTGAATCCTGTACAAAAATTATGAAATAAGAGGATCACCAATAAATAATCCTATAAATATTCCTAACATCACTGTTGCTATAAGATAGTCTGTGTGTTCCCTTGTGTAGACACCACCAGGCACAAAGTTATATGCCACAGTCCACACAAAAAAGAAAATCTCCACAAGATAGGTAACCACGGCAACCACAAGTGACCTCCCTGGGGGACATCTACTGACTCTGTCTGCCATTTCTGGCCAAATGGACATGGTATACACACCTAGGACTAGGCCAGCTGTGGAAAGAGATCACAGATACATGTATTTATTACAAAGCATTTTACAATAAATTCTTGTGTGATTCATGCACTCAGTAATACTGGAAACAATGTGGATGCAAAAATTTTTTTAAAACTGTTCTAATTTTTTAATTGTATCTTATTTTAGCTGACCTGTGTAACCCTGGTAGGTTGGTAAGTAATACAGTCCAGCTAAAGATAAAGCTCCTATCAGCCACCAGATTTTACTTTGTGCTACGTGACGACATGCTGACATGTAAAATCCAAATACAAGACATAAAAACACACCAATTCTGGAAATAAAAATATTTACAAACTATAATGCAGAATAATCCAAAGTAATATATATTTTTGTACCCGTGTACTCAAATTGTATGAAACACTATAGGAAAACAACTTATGTTTAGCATCATGTATTAGTATTTAAATTATTACAATAAATTACCCCCAAGGATAAGGCATTGGCCCATGGTCTGGATAGCCAGTCACTACCCATCTAGTAATCAAGGACACCTCCCCGAAACACCAGTGTGTCAGATAGATAAGACTTCCAAATCCAAAGGCTGTAGGCAACCAATACGGCTGCTCAGGCCTCTCTTTTTCTTTGTTGTTTACAATGTCTGCTCCTGCATGAATTAGGATAAAGGGATAATGTTGAGAGTTAAATTGATTAGTAAAAATTTCTAGTACACATCATATTTCTTGTGATTGAATATGTCTAAATCTCTATATTGTAACAAGAAGGGAAAAAATGTGATGGATCAGTAGAACAAAATTAGAACCAAGATCCCCTAAACACTAGGCATATGTTTTAGCTACTGAACTATCTGGCCACTGGCTGATCAACCTAACTGACCATCACTTCTAAAGTACCTCTAAGTCTTATTTTTTAAAGAAAACAATGTGTCATTGTTTTGTTTATACAAGTAACATACCGGAATACTGTAGATCACTATATTTTCGCGACACCTTATTTTCGCGAGATTGTCTTTGACTCTTGATTAGCGAGACAAAATTTTCACGAATTGTGGTTATTGCTCTATATAATCTTAAGGAATGCTATTATACGCGAGAATTAAATGTTTGCGAACACATTGTCTCGCGTAATTACGTGAAAATAAAGTTCTCGCGAATAAAAAGTGATTTACAGTATTAAAAAGTCTTACCAATATCACTTTTCTCACATACTTTTTTTAAGGAGAAAGCTCCAGTTACTTTAATTAAATATTGTGGTTTTGGAATTTATACCTGAAATTATTTGATCTATGGTGGAAATGACTGCTATGGCAATGATTGCTGAGTTTGTAGTGTTGCTCCACCATGTGGGAATAAAAGAGGCAAAAAATATCCTGCTAGTGATCAAGGACAGTAGCCCCAGAAATAGACCCCAGAATGTGGAGGACCTGGAATAAAGACCATTGTATTGTCATGATGTAGCTTAGAGAGAACAGTTCCTCATATATTACAATACAATATAATTCAATTACAATATTACACTTTTAAATTTTCCAAGTGTTTTGTCTGCCCCCCCCCCCCCCAATAGAATGCTGAATACTGTAGTAAATAAAGCTACTATATGCTTGTACCCCTCAATAAAAACATATTTTTGCTTGTCAAGGATTGAAGGAATTTTTGGTAGTTGATAGTGCCCTTAGCTGCAGAACTGTAGCTCTCCGAAAAAAATATATTGATAGACCGGAGAGCTACAGTGCCACCCACTGAAAAACTGTATATTTATTGCGCACAAAAAAGTGCACTGTTTCTGGATTAATTCTTCCAAATTCTTACCTCAACTGCAAAAAAGCTAAATTTCAATAAAGTCCTTACTCCTCTATCAATTACTTTCGTAGTTTAGACATCTGTACGAAGCGCGTTGGACTGAATTATCTTGCAAACCAAAATGGCAGTATAAATAGGTGAAATTTTCGATGATCTCAATTTACGGACCATTAGGGTTAATAAAAAATTATAAGGAATGTTTTATTTTGGAAACAGTTAAATAATATGTTAGGAACACACGGTTAGTAATATTTTGAAATGACAGTTTTAAAAACATAGAGAAATAAATTGAAAAGCAGCGCACCTTTTTGTGCGCAATAAATATACATTTTTTTCAACGGGTGGCACTGTAGCTCTCCAGTCTATCAATATATTTTTTTCGGAGAGCTACAGTTCTGCAGCTATTAGTGCCCTGTGCCCCCAACTGGAAATGGTTTGGCTGTGCCCCCCCCCCCCCCCTACCCCCAGCCAAGCACCCTACCTGATTTTGACATCTGGACTCCATAATGTGGCTGCTAAAACAAGCATTTGAACTCCAGCTCCCCCTGCAAGAATCATGAGTCTGGTCAGAGTTGTTGGTGCCTGAAATGAAGCTAGTGATCCAACCATTAGAAGCCGAAGCAAACCCAAGACCCATCGATTCTGAACCAGTGACAGCATGCCTGGTATACCAAGGAGGATAGGGCTGAACCAGGTGGCAGCAAATGCCTCATATCCGGATATGTCGAGTTCATTTAAAGGATAGAACCATATCATAGGTCCTAGACCTTGAAACAAGGACCAAAATACATAACCTACAGTAGGGAAAAAAGAACTGTCATGATTCATTGATAGAGCAAACAACAAAATCATAAAATAAATAAGATCATGAGTGTCATTATGAATAAATTAGGTTGCATTTATTTCATCAAACAAGGAAATGTGAATCATCTACCGGCATCTCCCGCATTTCCTCGAAAAAAGGAAGCGTCACGTGTAGAATTTAATTTTTATATTTCAACATCTACTGACACCTACCATTTATTGTTTCTCGAGCAATTGATCGAAAAGATAAAAGCTCAAGTTGGTCCTCCATGTTTTTGCTCGTCGTGGCACTTGAAGACTAAGCGTTTAACATGTTTAATCTATTGGAACCCACAAAAGTAGAAATGTAAACAACCCGTGCACTTAAACGCTTTGAATACACGGTCAGAACCAATTTTCCCGGTATAATATCTGTAAACATTAAATTGCTCCTATACCTTAGACAACTACGCCAAAATGGTTTTAAAATCATAGAAATACGTATTTTATAATTTGCTAGAAAATGATCGATGATGAATTTTATAATTTTAGGGTGTAAACACGAGGATTCAACATGAGATGTTATCGAAATTCAGTCGCAAACATTTGGCTAACTCGGATCCATCCAACGACTTCCGGGTACACTTGACAAGCTTCTCCACATCGACAGCATGATGAAATGTGGCAGCTAACACTATGGATCTTTTTTCAGTGCTGCTGTCCTTCTTGGGCATTGCAGTTATTACAGCTTTCATTGTAAGTACAAGTGTTTGAGGCCTATTTACAGTTTAAAGACTATTGGTCATACGTTCAGTTGCATTATTTTAATGCATCATAGTTGATGTTATCTACAGCATATTGACAGATATCCTGTCAATCATCTAGTCGTTTCACTTACCAGCTAGAGACTCTTATTGAAGTTTGTCTGTAAAGTCATTAACATATTCAGCTATTGCATTACTTTTTTTTAACCAAACCCGACACAGAGATTTGGGTAACCATGCTTGATGAAGCATTTGGTAAATGAGGGATGCAGGTGAAGGACCAAGAGAAGATAATTTTGGTACATTGAAATTAGGCTTTGGTTCACAAAATCAGAATCAGAAACCGTTAGCACGAGCATATTACAAGATGCATGTGACTACCCGGGGCCCCATACATCTGCCTAAAATTATTGTTACATGGAGGGGGGCTGCATGTCACTATGTAAAGGTGTGGTTCCAGAGGAGTCTTGGATTACAGTTAGCCTATTTAGCATAATATTGAATACCATACATATTTATATTGAATCCGGGATGTTTCGCGCCGATTTTGTGTCACACTGAGATGGTTCGCGCCAAGATGATTCGCGACGACTTAGGTGCGAAACATCTCACAATTTATTTTAAATATTCCATGACATTTTTATCCATTTAAAAAAATTATTTATCAATTATAAGATTTACATATATAGATGTTGTGTGTTCAAATGCATGAGTTAATAATATGCACTGCCAAAGATTACGGATCGTGTTCAAGGATTTAATTGTAATTAGTTGGAGATCAGAAGGTGAGAATTTATTAATTGACGTGTTGGTAGCCAAAGCTAACAATAATTACTTAATTAGATGGTGGTATTATAATTAGCATGGTGTTAAATTAATTCATAATTATGCTATGTATACTACAAATTAACACAGATATAAATAATTATTTCTCCGCTACAAATATAATCTTCTTGAATTAAAAAAAAAATTTAAAAATTTAAAAAAATATCAAAATGGACATCATATTGCATGTTTAAAATCTAAAATTTTGTTAAACGAACTTCAGTAGGCTAGCACATATTTGTACAAAAATGTGGGGCGAACCATCTCAGTGCGAAACGGAAACGGTGCGAAACATCGCAGAGCGAACCATGCATAGGTGCGGAACATCCCGTTACCTTTATATTTTATGCACCTGTCATTTCATTTTGCACAAGAATTTTCATTGAATTTTGTACTCTGCATTTATGGCATAGTAAAATGATGTCACCTGCTTTGAAATAAGGAGATAAAATTCATGATTAAGATGAGGGACAAAGAGTACTCAACAAACAGTAAATTTCATTTCCCATGAACCAAGAGTTTATGTTCTTGTGGAACTGCATTACCGTGGAATGCTGCATGTGAGACTCGGGTGAATGTCAGCAGACCATGAATATGGCATCAGGACCCATGAACTTCTTGCTTCAATTATTTTATTTGTCCTTTATGTTTATTGTTAAATATTGGTGCATTGTTACAACGCACTTTGAAAAATTACGCACTTTGAAAAAAATTTTCAAAGTGTTAAATTTGGGACCAAGCTTACGCACTTTGAAAAAATAAAATTTCTTTTCAAAGTGCGTTATCGACCATATTAACGCACTTTGAATAAAAAAATGTAAAGCTTGATCAATATTCTTACAAATAATCGGATTGATAAATAATTGACCCTGGTTGGATAACTATTTGGTGATAAGATCACTTCAGGACCTGAGATATTGATGTTTTAAATATTTTACTTTTTGATAAATACCGTTATCATAAATGGGAAATGGGTCTTTTAGAAAAAATAGAGATGATTCTTTAATATCATTATTTAGTTTCTTTTTAAAAGAAAAAGTTCTAATCTGTAATAAGTAGATGTAGGAAGTGTGTGTTGGGGGGGGGGGGCTAAAAGTGAATGACTTAAAGCATAGCCATTTATCTTCAGAAAAAGGGGTAATCTGATTTTTCAAGACTTTGAAAATTCTTTCTCAAACGTTTTACTGTGCTTAAACATTTCTAGTTTTCATCTGCTTTAAGTTAATACAATTATTGATAGTTTTCAACCTCATACTGGTAATGTAAATACATATCCATTTTTGGGTAGGTTGAGTTGTTACCGACACCTGTGTATTGAAAGAGAAAGAATTAGGCTGAGAGATCTTCTACCCGGCTTCTTCTCTTCTTGACGGGAGTAAAACAATTCATAAGTCTTTTGCCAGATAAATAACACTGAAATAGAATCGTTCCATTACTAAAATCTATATCCAGAATTTTTGTGTTTACACATTTTTTTTCAAAGTGCGTTAAGCGTATCCATGGTAAAATATATTGATGTAAACTCTTAACGCACTTTGAAAAAATTTTCCAAAGTGCGTTGAGTATGTCCAAAATTTAATGCACTTTGAAAAATTTTTTCAAAGTGCGTTGATTTTGTCCCAATTTTAATGCACTTTGAAAAAATTTTTCAAAGTGCGTAATTTTTTCAAAGTGCGTTGCCACAGTGCATTCAATATCAAAGATAAATGCTCAATGAGAAAAAAGGCAGGGTAAATATTGGGAGTATCATGCAAAGATTACTTTACTGATGAAAATAATTTTTGTAAATCATATACAGTACATTTATTGGAATATTGGTGTTTTTCTTTTCACAGGTGTTGATTATTGTTGCCATGTCTACAAAGCCATATCCAGATTTAGGAAGATACGAGTCTGAAAAATATTTCATGAATGAAAAGCAGGAGAAATGTCTGTTTCCATCAATCAATGATCCAGCTACCCTGGAGCTCTCAGTGATTGTACCAGCATACAATGAAGAAGAAAGGTGTATGTAAACAGGAAAAATTGAATATAATCTGGGTTTCACTTGTATATTTATTTTTATTGCATTATGTATCTATTTTTTGATAGGATGAAATTAATTAATGAATTGATTATATAGCTGCATTTTCCTTTGTAGTACCAGTGATGATGGATGAAGCTTTAGGCTATTTAGAGGAAAGAAAGGTTGGTTTTATTGTAAAAAGGAAATATTTGTACACAATTATTATTATATATGCAGATCATTTTAAAGGATACAAGTAGAAAAAATGTGGAAATATAATCTTTTTAATATCTAAGTGAATTAAAAAAAAATATTTTCATGATATCTTTTGACAGACTTCTGATAAACAATTAATGTAGACTCTTTTTTTTAGAGACAATGTAACCTTTCATTTAATTAAGTATTTTCTTGTAGAAGAAATCCTCATCATTCAGCTATGAAGTGATTGTTGTTGATGATGGCAGCAAAGACAAAACTACACAAGTAAATAAGTTTACTGTGTACTTTTACTACTAAGCATTGTTTTCTGAAATGTTATATGAAAATTTTATTCCTCTGGTATTTTACTTTTTTACCACCAGACAGCACAAAAGTATTGCAGTAAATTTGGATCTAAGAAAGTACGAGTATTAACACTAGCAAAGAATCGGGGAAAGGGTGGAGCCATCAGACTAGTAAGTATGCCGATTAACTGAATAATTTTGTCTCCAAAAATTTTATTTAATTCTGATAGTATGTAATTGTTGTTTCACTTGTTTGAATGTAGTTCTCAAGAACAGAATTAATGTTGTATAGCAGACACTATAAAATACAAAAAGTGTCAAATTTCTGATCTTGTGCCTCATAATACCATATTCTGTTTGCAATGGTGAAATTTTAGGGTCTGAGGTATGTGAGAATTGGTTTGCATTTTTGAACCTCAGAAGATTTGTCTCCTTTTGCTTTTATTTGAATTCATGGTGTATTTTGTAACATATATCTTAAGGATTAACCTTCTTATACCTTATGCAGTGTAGTGTTACATATTACATGCATTATATACATGTAAATAATGCATTATATAAATTTGTTATTTTTTGGTAGGGTATGTTTTCTGCCAGAGGACGATTCCTGCTGTTTGCTGATGCAGATGGAGCAAGTAAATTTAGTGACTTTACAAAACTGGAGAACGAAATGAAAAATTTAAAAAAGGACAGTAGCAACAGGGCAGTGGTGTGTGGGTCTCGTGCACATTTGGAGGAGGAATCTATAGCACAGGTAGACATTCAGTCACAAAGAATCTGTGTCAGTAACAAAGAATCTGTGTCAGTAAGATATAAGAATCAATGGCATTCACTAAAGGACTATAAAAAGTGTCAGTTAACAGATATTTTTTTATTTAAAAGTAAATGGTAGACCGTATTAGAGGTTCATTTCTGTTGAATGCTCTATCCAATTTGTTAAATCACAGAGTATCCAAAAGCATCTATGCATAAATCAAGACCTGAGTTATCTCTCTTAGATACCATACATATGAGAATAAATTAAGAAATGAAACTTGCTAATGAGATTGTTCTTCATTTCCAGAGATCTTTATTTAGGACAATCTTGATGAAAGGATTCCATTTTGTTGTCTGGTTTCTTTGTGTACGGGGAGTCAAGGACACACAATGTGGATTCAAACTTCTTACAAGAGAGGCAGCAATTCTCCTCTTCTCTAATCTACATGTAGAGAGATGGTAGTTTGTTTTTATAAGAAAAAGACAAATCAAATAGAAGTTTAAAAAAAACTATTTACTTTGTACATAACATTTCTGGTCATTCATTTCTCACC